GTATACAGTAAGTACTGTATACTGTATATAGGCTACAGTTTATATAGAGTCTGTGTGTACTTAATGCTATATATTGTATACAGTCTAGTTGCTGTATACTATATTCTATGTACTATACTATACAGTCTGTGTACTTTATGCTATATAGCATGTACAGTCTAGTCACTGTATACTATCTATACAGTGACTGGGATAATCCCGTAGACTGTATGAAGAATCCAAAACAAACCTTTTAAGATAATGAGGCTATGAAAACACTGCGCTCATCTGTGCATTTAATATATTTTTGATTTCATGTAGTTTACCTAAAATCAAAAATCAAAATATGTTTTATGAAAGATAAATAAATAACCTTTTAAAGGAACAGTAATTTCGGGGGATTTAGTGGCATCGAGCTCTGAAGATTGCAGATTGCAACCAGCTGAAATTTCTGTGGGTAAGAATTCCTTCAGTGTTTATTGTCTAGGAGGTTCTTACCTTGAGCTGAGTTATCCACCGAGGTCTCTTCCTCTCCAAAACAAACGGACCAGGTGATTTAAACTGGTAAAAACACCAAATGAAGCAGTTTCATGTTACAAATCTGTGTTTCTCTGACACTATTTGGAACGTTGCAGAGGGTCTGATAGCCCAGCCCCTGCTAATGTGTGCTCACCTACTGTTCTCTGGTGATTTAATCTGTGGTCACCCGTTTCTCTGATAACTTAAACTCTACATGTTTAGGAGGTTTTTACCAGGAGCTGACAAAAGTCTCTTCCTCTCCAAAACAAATGGACCAAGTGATTTAAATTGGTAAAAACACTGTTTTTCCAACACTGGCTCTACCCAGAGCCAGTGTTTGGTTTGTCCATTCTGGGCTGCTGTAGAAACATGGTAGTACAACATGGTTGATGACTCCAAGGACAAGGATCCGCACCCTGTGTAGATATAAACAGCTCATTCTAAGGTTAAACACAATGATTCTTAGTTTCAGGTGATTAAACACTAAATGAAACACACTTTTTATTCTATTAAATTTCTGCCAATGTATCCCACTAAATCCTACACACTGGACCTTTAAAAAGAAAGTAACAAAAAATGAATATGCCTTTTCTACCAATTATCAGTGTGGATTCTTTGAGTATTTGTCAGAAGGCCTTTTTATTTGTTCTCTTGATGTGCCCCACCAACATGCACACTACACGGACCCTGAAACTGAAACAACTAAATGGAATTCAGCCATGTTGAATTTATTTATTTATGCTGTTTCTACAACATCTAAGGCTCCTACTTTTTTTCCTCAATATTTTACTATTAACATTATATGCCATTAGAAAATTGTGGACACAAAAATGAATAAAATGTAATATCAAAATAGATACTTTATTATGTCATTACAATCAACAATCAACATCTGTTTGCTACAGGACAAATCCATGTAAGGCTGGAAAACAACTTTACTGACAAATAAAACAAATGGACGAGATCAGAGGATCAACATAAAGTTGTTTCACATGAAGACAAGGGCACTGAAGAGGAGGGTAGAAAAGCAGTGTAGGGTGGAAAGCTGTCACTTTCTCTTCTGGAGCTCTCTGGCCAAGGCTTCCAGCTGTGAAGAGTGACACAGTATCACATGAGAGTCAGACACAATATAGTGTGGTACAACTTCTATTGTTATGTCCACTGTATATATTTTTTAATTTGCTGAAGAGTACATCAGCTAATTACATATTTGCCATAATTGCATAATCCCCTTTGATTACAGTGGGACATTAGGCAGCTCAAATGCCTTTTATTTTTTATCAGGGTTTATACAACTTGAAACAACAGGGTACACTTACAATAATGTTTCTCAGTATACTTCTCCTCTGGGGTCTCAAGTAGCTGCATTCTCCTGCCTCACACAGCTTAATCTCCTCTGAAATCTGAGAGACACAGAGAGCAGATTTAGGACTATAAAGGAAGGTAAAGAGACAAAGTGTACCTTCATTCTCAACAGGAAATTCTCTGCAGATGAGAATGCAAACTGGCACACAAACACTGATCCTGACCTCTGACGTGCCAAAAGAGTCCAGCTCCCTCTTGCCTCCGGGGTACCAACCATGGGACCAGTGCTGGGCGCTGGACAGCTGAGCCCCCACACATAGAAGCAGCCCGAGCAGCAAAACCAGCCGAGATACACACATGATATTCCCACCTAGAGGCAGAAATGGACACTTGATTACAGGGGTGTGGACTTCATTTAAACCTCTTCAGGTGAATTTTTATGCACCAGTTTGTGCATTGTATATATATATGTATATATATATATATATACAGTACAGGCCAAAAGTTTGGACACACCTTCTCATTCAATGCGTTTTCTTTATTTTCATGACTATTTACATTGTAGATTCTCACTGAAGGCATCAAAACTATGAATGAACACATGTGGAGTTATGTACTTAACAAAAAAAGGTGAAATAACTGAAAACATGTTTTATATTCTAGTTTCTTCAAAATAGCCACCCTTTGCTCTGATTACTGCTTTGCACACTCTTGGCATTCTCTCCATGAGCTTCAAGAGGTAGTCACCTGAAATGGTTTCCACTTCACAGGTGTGCCTTATCAGGGTTAATTAGTGGAATTTCTTGCTTTATCAATGGGGTTGGGACCATCAGTTGTGTTGTGCAGAAGTCAGGTTAATACACAGCCGACAGCCCTATTGGACAACTGTTAAAATTCATATTATGGCAAGAACCAATCAGCTAACTAAAGAAAAACGAGTGGCCATCATTACTTTAAGAAATGAAGGTCAGTCAGTCCGGAAAATTGCAAAAACTTTAAATGTGTCCCCAAGTGGAGTCGCAAAAACCATCAAGCGCTACAACGAAACTGGCACACATGAGGACCGACCCAGGAAAGGAAGACCAAGAGTCACCTCTGCTTCTGAGGATAAGTTCATCCGAGTCACCAGCCTCAGAAATCGCAAGTTAACAGCAGCTCAGATCAGAGACCAGATGAATGCCACACAGAGTTCTAGCAGCAGACCCATCTCTAGAACAACTGTTAAGAGGAGACTGCGCCAATCAGGCCTTCATGGTCAAATAGCTGCTAGGAAACCACTGCTAAGGAGAGGCAACAAGCAGAAGAGATTTGTTTGGGCCAAGAAACACAAGGAATGGACATTAGACCAGTGGAAATCTGTGCTTTGGTCTGATGAGTCCAAATTTGAGATCTTTGGTTCCAACCGCCGTGTCTTTGTGAGACGCAGAAAAGGTGAACGGATGGATTCCACATGCCTGGTTCCCACTGTGAAGCATGGAGGAGGAGGTGTGATGGTGTGGGGGTGTTTTGCTGGTGACACTGTTGGGGATTTATTCAAAATTGAAGGCACACTGAACCAGCATGGCTACCACAGCATCCTGCAGCGACATGCCATCCCATCCGGTTTGCGTTTAGTTGGACGATCATTTATTTTTCAACAGGACAATGACCCCAAACACACCTCCAGGCTGTGTAAGGGCTATTTGACCAAGAAGGAGAGTGATGGAGTGCTGCGGCAGATGACCTGGCCTCCACAGTCACCGGACCTGAACCCAATCGAGATGGTTTGGGGTGAGCTGGACCGCAGAGTGAAGGCAAAGGGGCCAACAAGTGCTAAACACCTCTGGGAACTCCTTCAAGACTGTTGGAAAACCATTTCAGGTGACTACCTCTTGAAGCTCATGGAGAGAATGCCAAGAGTGTGCAAAGCAGTAATCAGAGCAAAGGGTGGCTATTTTGAAGAAACTAGAATATAAAACATGTTTTCAGTTATTTCACCTTTTTTTGTTAAGTACATAACTCCACATGTGTTCATTCATAGTTTTGATGCCTTCAGTGAGAATCTACAATGTAAATAGTCATGAAAATAAAGAAAACGCATTGAATGAGAAGGTGTGTCCAAACTTTTGGCCTGTACTGTATATATATATACACACACACACATATAACATATAGTGCAAATTTATTTCATTTTGTCAGAGTCCTCTGACTATAAAAGGCTATTTATCTTTGATCCTTTGGTATCTGATACAGAAAATTTACACAAATTTCAAGTGTTTAAATACTCTCATAAATTACTGTAAATTGTATTATCCATCAGTTCAAATCTGGAATAGCTTTTGTGCAGCAGAAAGTTGGAACTAAATTTGAAAAGGCATCTTTGATTTTGCTTTTCATGCAATGAAAACAGCAGCTATCAGAAAGCTCTGATAGTTTGCAGTAAGACCATTATGGCTTCAGACATGATAATGCTCTGAGTTTTAATATTTAGACTGAATTATTTTTTGATGCAACTTTGCATTTTGCTGAATTATTTTTCCATTTTGATCATGTTCCACTGTAGTTTAAATTTACAATGTTTGCCTTCCATGAATAAGCCAAATTTTTTTGCATTTGAAACATTGTTATGTGGGATATCATCTTAGGAACTTTCAGTTTTCCCAAATGCAATGCTGTGATAATTATAGAGTTCTTATAGAGTTCTTAGGACAAATATTAAACAGCTGAACAATAATAAGCCTAAAATATCCAATCTTGAGTCATCTTTACCCTGAGAGATAATAAGAGGAGGTAACACCAGGTTTCCAACAATATTCAAATTCATATTTACTCTAATAACAATATACATTTTAAACAGAGTACAATAAAGCTATGTGGAATTGTAATGAAAAATACTTACCTTATTCTCACAACTTTATCACTACAGGTGTCTCTTGATGTCCTGCCAGAAGCTCACTCTGCTTGCCCTGTAGTCGGTCAGTGTCTCACAGTTTCACCAGTGTATTACTGTCTAGATTCTCCTCAACCTCATCTTCCTCCTAAATATATGTACCCCTCCCAACGCACATTTCCATTATCATTCCCCTATTGCCCCGCCCATCACTGACCCTTTGGTCCCTGTGTTCCCTGTGATGAAATTAACGGTCCCTCGGGACAAAAGGTCCAGAAGACACAGCCAGTACCAATTATCACCTGCAAACAATACTGATGCTCATCTGCTCACATGCACTACCCATATCCACATCCAAATACTGTCAGTCTGACTGACAACAGATTCAAATCAGATCAGGGTAATGATAGTTTTTTCATGCAAACTTTTCAAGTACATTAAAACACACATTTAAATTGATGAATGATCAAGCCAGATAGATAAAAAATGTCTCATAAGAACATGTAGGGGTCACTTGAATATAACCCTTGTTTCTGGCTCCTACAGTCTGGGCCTTACTGACTATTATCTTTGACTAATAGTATTTAACAAGCACAGTGGGTCCTTGTTAGAAGGTGAAACTCAATAGTTCCAATTTCCTGTGTTTTTTCACCAGTTCTGACCACAGTGACCCATCATACATCCTCCGTTTAACCCACATGACCCTTCAGTCAGGGGAAACACAGGGGCATCTCATGTCAAGGGGAACAAACAGAGTGGTCTCCTGTCCAGGGCACTGATGACATCCCTCTCAATTAGAGGAGGTAATCCCTTTTCGGAGTTTTAGATGCAGAGCCACAACTCACTCAGGAAGTGACTGACAGTGTGACGTGCTGCTGTTGACTCAGTTCATCTGGCAGTTTGTGTGTTGTGACGCATGACTGTTTGGTGCAGAGGACTGGTTGAAGTGTGATGACTCCAAGATGCGTCACTAAGGAGATGTGAAATCCTGTCAGTGTGAGGCAAGAGCAGTTTCCTTCTCAGGTGTCTGTGAATGAACATTTCCAAATGTAACATACACTGATAGGTGGCTGTATTGTTATCTGCCAATTGGTTTTGCCCAGCACAAATTGAAGTGGTGCAAACCATTTGCAAATTATGTTAATCGTTTTGTCAGCATTCATTCAACTTACCTGATTTCATATCATTACAATGCAAATATTTATTGTATTTCTTAAAGCTTTAAACCGATATTTGAATCTCTTGCTGGAATTCATGTCAAATTACAGGAATATTTCACCCACAAAATGATCATTTGTATATCAGTTCCTCACCCCATCTCATGTTGAATTGGTGAAGAAAACTTTTTTGAACAAACAATCCAAAAACAGAAAAAAAAATCTTGATAAATTGGAATTAAAGGGGGGCACGTTTAACAACTGCAAAACTATTTCAAGACATCTATTTTACAAACTCTCACACAAGTCTTGCAGTATAATTCCAGTCTCATTTATCCAGTCGTATGCTCAGTACTTCCCAAACACATGGATTTTTCACCTAAACCTTACTTTTTAAAACACTTCTGCATACCAGTACCATGCCTGGGCAGGTGCAGGTGTTTGAGCTCTGCTCAAAGGAATGCACAGAGGTCACATGCTTGCCCAGGCGCACTACTTGTAGTGAAAATGCATGTCTTTGGGAAGTACTGAGCATATGACTGGATCAATGAGACATGGATTATACTCCACAAGTTGTGTGAGAGTTTTTGAACAGATGTTTTGAAATAGTTTTGCTGTTGTTAAACGCAGCCCCCATTACTCCAATTCATCAAGAATTCTTGGAGTCGTTGTTCATCCTGGAGGCATGTGAAAAAACTAACACAGGATTAGTAATTAATATACAAATGATCATTCACTTCCTCAGAACTGCATCTCTGCTTTTTGCAGATGATGCAGTTCTGTTGGCTTCATCACACCATGACCTCCATCAGGCACTGGGGTGGGGAAGCGGTCGGGATGAGAGTCAGCACCTCCAAGTCTGCAGCCATGGTTCTCAGCCCCCTCTGGGTTGGGAGTGAATCACTGCCCCGAGCAAAGCTTTTAAGGATCTCAGTGTCTTGTTCACAAGTGGGGGTAGAATGGTGCGTGAGATGAATAGGCAGTTTGGCGTGGTGTCTGCAGTGATGCAAGTGCTGCGCCAGGCTGTTGTGGTGAAGAGAGAGCTGAGCCAGAAGGCAAAGCTTTTTAACTTACTGGTCCATCTACATCCCAGCCCTCAAATGTGGTCATGAGCAAAGAATGAGATCACAGATATAAGCAGCAAAGATGAGTTTCCTCCGAAGGGTGGCTTACCCTATCTCTAAGGGAGCCTTAGAGAAAAGGTAAGGAGCCAGACATCTGGAAGGAGCTCAGAATAGAGCCGCTGTTCCTTTGCGTCAAAAGGGGTTAGGTCAGGCGGTTTGGGCATCTGATCAGGATCCTCCTGGGCGCCCCCTGTTAGAGGTATTCTGGGCACGTCCAGCGGGTAGGAGGCCCTGGGGCAGACCCTGAACACGCTGGAGTGATTACATATCTTGTCTGGCCTGGGAACGCCTCAGGTCCTCCAAGAGGAGCTGGAAAGCGTCGCTGGGGAGAGGGATGTCTGGAATACTTCGCTCAGCCTGCTGCCCCTGCAGCCCAGCTTCAGATAAGCAATTGAAAATGGATAGTGATAGATGATCATTCTGTGGATAATTTCATTCTCTAACCCTCTTTTGATTTGCTAGACACAGACCTCTACAGATAGCGCTATAGGCAGCAAAACATTTGTCTTTTTTCTTTACCCTCAATAACTACATTTCAAAATGTTTTGGGACTCAAAAGAAACAGATTAAAAGACAGATGGTCAAAATCCAAGCAGCAGATGCTGAGATATCCAGACTCAAGCTCCAAAATCACTGGATGCTTAATTTCCCTGATTGCAACTAAATACCATATTTTCTTTAAACCCTCCATGTGTCCTAACTGCTCAGTTTTTGTCAGTCTCTTCATTTTGTAAACACAGACTGCTAAAAAATTTAAGTCTCAAGCTAGGATCACATTGGATCTTCCTATTTCTCTATCTATAGCTACGAATTTGTAAGACTACTGCTCCAAAATGAAATCCAGGTATCACTGTCCACACAGACATTTCAACACAAACCCTTAAAAGAATCCCTGGTTAATTATTTATTGGTGTAAAAAGCACATTAATATTTGATTTGGGGTGAAGGGTTAAACGCTGATTGAAAACCCTTCAAGAGCAACACTCAGGAGGACTGACTGATCTATAGGATACATGAACGATTGGCAATTATTTTGCACCACTGCACCATTAGTCTTCATTGGGAGGCGAGCTGTAATGAGCATCAGGTTGTTGTGACGTAACTGCACCTCTGGCTTTAACGTCACATTTAAAGACACAATAAATACAGACAATGATAAAATCTCAAGCACTTTATTAGGTTTGAACAGTATCTTGCTTAGAAAGGCCATTTGGCATTATATAATTATATATAATTTTATCATACATATATTCAAATGTTGAATAACAAAACACTAGAAACAAACATTGGCAAATTAAAAAATAGGATTTGCTTAAGACAATTATACCAAATTAAAAATGGCCAAAACAAAACATCTCTAATACATTTCAAAATGGTCCCGATACAGTTCAATATACATCTTTTTAAAAAAAAAAAAAAAAAAAAAAGAAGAAGAAGGGGGGAGAAGAAAATATAATAAGCAAGGCAGCAGACAGGAATGAAATATAAATAACCTTACATTATGTACAAAAGGGAGTGGGCAGTCACCACTGGGGGAAAATGTCCAATGGTCCAAGGACAAAGTGAAAGAGGAAAAAGGAAGTGGACAGCTGTGAGTGGAATTGGACAGGGGACATAAAAGGTGGAAAGAAAAAGAGTGAAGTCAGACTGTCGTCTCCCTCAAGTCCGACGCTCTTGAAATGGAGCTGTATTTTAATTCTCTGGGGCGTTCAAAACACTCCACTGGTGAAATGCTCCAGGAACACAGGGGTGTGAAACAGGGACAACTGTTTGGTTTCCCTCAGTGATAATGCATAAAAGATAAAATTTTTCATGGAGACAAATTTATAATTTTTTGTTGAACATTCGGGTACCCACAATTGATTACTTGTCATGGATCCCACATTGAACTGATATGGAATGAAATGAAATCATTAAATGAAGATGGAATATATTTAAAAAGTGACCTCAATGTTAGTTTGATCAGCACAATCAAGAAATCTACGTATGTTCGCAGGAGGGAATGTGAAAGGAAGGATGACCGACCCAGTCTTGGTTTTGGCCCTATTGATTTGTCATAAAAAGAGGCTTGTCATCCGTCTGCAGGTGATAGTTGAGGAAATACATGCAAGTTGGGAAAATGCAAAGGACAGCATTTAGGATGACAACAGTTGCACCACATATTGTTTGTAATCTTTTTTTTTTAAACCTATCAGTGAGGCACTTTTTAAAAGTTCACTATTAGCAAAATAGTGGGTCTCATGGGTTGGCACAGTGTCATGTTTTGCTGTTAAACTGCAATGAGACAAAGTCACATGATCCAAACACACACCCATGTCATCTAAGCACAGACACAGTAGCCAAACAAAAAGCATCCCCTCCTCTGTGAATTAAAGACCCCAATAAGTGACAAAGTAAATAAATGAAGCACATAATGGCACCTAACTAAAAGTGCGGGCACTTGTGACGCTTTGGAACGAATGAAGACCTGAAATGACAATGACAATGCACATTTTCAGTGACTGGTCAGCTAAAATATCTGCTACTTTAAGTCCCTAGAGAAGGCTTAACCCAGAGCTTTGAGACCTGAACGGGTTTCAGTCCAAATATAATTCCCATAGTTCAACATCAAGGCCAAATAATTAACCCGACCTTATCTCTTATTTGGTTCTGTATTTTTTAAGGGCTTCGCTTTTGGTGCAAATAGTGCATGAGTGTTCAAACAATCAACATTGACGCAATCACCCTTCCTAAAAATTCAGCATGTACTTTTAACTCCGCTATCAATAAATTAGGATTGATTGTGCACCTTCTGTTAAGACAAGTAATAAAATACGGGATTGTTAGTT